AATAACTACTGAATATAAACACACACTAACCAGTAGCTAAAGTATTAGTATAGTGTTTAATAGAAGCAAATACTTTATAGCTATTCCATATATATAAATTTCTAAATACAGTAGAACTCCAATTATTTGAATTGATTCATTCTTCAGGTGATTTGGATTGTTGAAAATTCAGATAAGTGGAGTAACATGTAAAAAATGAATGGCGTGAGGTCCAATTTCTTTCACTTTTAACTTACAAAAAAATGAAATTACAGGGTCGCAGCACAGTACTGTACTGTACATGTAGTGTATGTATTTGTTCATCAATGTGTGAGTACCATCCTATTGATCACTTGAATCTGTCAAAACAAATAAGTGCATGGTGTAAGAGAACTGCAGTGTGACATCAGTGGGAGAGAAAAAGGAGAGCAAGTGGTGGCTGAAATAAATGGAGTTCTGCTGTACTATTTACTGAGCTTTCTTACATTCATTCTTTTATAAGCTAAAATCAGTTTTCATAGAAGTCGAAATTAATAGTTTTAATATATGAAATGACACTCTCCTTGTTAAAATTATATATATAAAATACATTCTCATAAGTATAAATTTCAAGTATAACAAAAAAGAAAAAAAAAAATTAGTAATTCTGTATTAAAAGAATATTTAATAAGTGATTAATAATTCTTACTTAATTGTATTGTAGAAAAATACATGAAAAATCAAGTTCTCTTTCCTTTCTGACTTACAGAGGATAAATAACTTCAAAATTCTAAAATATTACGTCAATAATGAAATAAAAATCAAAGTTAAAAGATGTAAAAGATAACCAACTTTGCAGGAAAAAAACACTATTACTTTGTTAAATCCACTAAATGCATTTCACCAAAAATATTAGGCCTCCTCAGTAGGGTTTTCAGCACAGTTTAAACTCTGACAATTTTCCATCAGGCTTATTTTGGCAAAATGCATTTAAGGGATTTAACAAAGTAATAAAGTGTTTTTCTCTACAAAGTTAAACCAACTTTCACCTCTTTTAACTTTAATTTTTATTTCATTATTAACATATTTTAGAATTTTGAAGTTATTTATCCTCTGTAAGTCAGAAAGGAAAGAAAACTTGATTTTTCATGTATTTTTCTACAATACAATTAAGTAAGAATTATTAATCACTTATTAAATATTCTTTTAATACAGAATTACTAATTTTTTTTTTTCTTTTTTGTTATAGTTGAAATTTATACTTATGAGAATGTATTTTATATATATAATTTTAACAAGGAGAGTGTCATTTCATATATTAAAACTATTAATTTCGACTTCTATGAAAACTGATTTTAGCTTATAAAAGAATGAATGTAAGAAAGCTCAGTAAATAGTACAGCAGAACTCCATTTATTTCAGCCACCACTTGCTCTCCTTTTTCTCTCCCACTGATGTCACACTGCAGTTCTCTTACACCATGCACTTATTTGTTTTGACAGATTCAAGTGATCAATAGGATGGTACTCACACATTGATGAACAAATACATACACTACATGTACAGTACAGTACTGTGCTGCGACCCTGTAATTTCATTTTTTTGTAAGTTAAAAGTGAAAGAAATTGGACCTCACGCCATTCATTTTTTACATGTTACTCCACTTATCTGAATTTTCAACAATCCAAATCACCTGAAGAATGAATCAATTCAAATAATTGGAGTTCTACTGTATTTAGAAATTTATATATATGGAATAGCTATAAAGTATTTGCTTCTATTAAACACTATACTAATACTTTAGCTACTGGTTAGTGTGTGTTTATATTCAGTAGTTATTACAATGTTATAAAATCAGTAAATTGGTTAGTTTTACAATTTATGTGACAAATATAAGTACATAAAAATTTAACCATCATAAAAATAAAGATCTTAATATGAATAACAAAATATATATTAGAAAAATTTTGAAGATATAGTAGTAATATGCAATAAATGAAATTCCTCCAAAAGTAGGGGAAAAAAACAGCAATAAGAAAAAGTATGGGGATATTTAAAAATTTAGCTGCTTTTTAATTTAAAAATTTTTTTTCAATAGATGAAAACTATTTTTTAATTGAATAATTAATATATTGGGTTGAACTAAAAGTTCATTTGGTTTTTAGAAAGAAATAAAATATACTATAGTAGAGCATTGGTTAGCCGACCCCCAATCAACCGTCACATTGGTTATCTGACCGCATTCTAGTCGGCAAATTCAAATGTCTGCTAGTGATGTGGCGCTACAGTATTTGGCTATGTCTTGGCTACTTTAATATTATTTTTTACATGTTTTAGCTGGCAACACTGGCTCGACCATGAAAGGGAGCCAGTATTTAAATAAGGCTTAATTTTCTAATTTTTAACAATATAATAGCGACAATTATTATTTTAAAAAAGTTTTTGTTAGGCTTAACATCGATGAAAATTCAACGCAAGTAGGTTAATAGCGATATACTAATTATATGGGATATACTAATATACTATACTAATAATGTATTTTTTCATATTTTTCAGTTATCCGTTTTTTCAATTATCCAACTAACCCCAGTTCCCAGTTGAGTCGGATAATCAATGTTCTACTGTATTTTGAAATAAATAGAAATGTTTAATCCACAATGTATTTATTCTTCTGCTCAATAACCTTACTCTACCTGATGGGTAGTTTCATAATTCCGTCTGTGTAGAATTGGGTGGGTTTCTGATTGAAGAAATTATCGATGTGATTTTTGATACCTTCTAGAGATTGAAATTCTATGCCATTTAAATTATTCTGCAATGAAAGAAAAAGATGATAGTCTGAGGGAGCAATATTTGGAGAATATGCAAGGTGACTCAAAACATCCCAGTTAAAATCTAGAATTTTTTGCACGTTTAATGATATGTGCGGTCTTGCATTATCATGATGGAATACCACTTCCTGTCAATTTGCAAGTTCTGGATGTTTTTGATGCACTGCAGCCTTTAATTCATCCAGTTGGAGACAGTATTTATTGGATTAATTGTTTGATTGTTGGGTAAAAGCTCATAATAAAGAATCCCTTTCCAGTTTCACCAAAGTGAAATCATTACTTTTCTGGGATGCAAACCAGCTTTAGGTTGTGGCACTGAAGGATCACCTGGCTTACTCCAAGATCTATTGCATTGAATATTGTTATAAACGATCCATTTTTCATCACCTGTTATTAATTGCTTTAAAAAGGGATCATCTTCATTGCATTTTAAAAGTGAATCTCATACAGAAACACGCTCAATAAGGTTTCATTCACTTAACTTATGGGGAACCAAAACATCATAATGGGAAGTGTATCCAAGGCTAGCCAAATGTCTGACAACAGATGTTCGGGATATTTTTAACATGTCGGCTATCTCTCGTGTTGTTTTATGCCGAACATTTTGAATTAAAGCCGTTACAGACTCATCTTCTATGGTTGAAGGTTGTCCTGACCGAGGTGCATCTTCGAGAGAAAAATCTCCCTCCCTGAATTTTGCAAACCATTTCTGGCATGTTCGATCAGTAACTGCATCCTCCCATATACAGCATATCTTCTTTTGAGTTTTTGTTGCATTTTTTCCTTTTTGGAAATAATAAAGCATAAGATGTCAAAAATGCACCTTCTTATCTTCCATTTTAATGTTTCTTTTTTTCTTAAAAGTTAACAAAATTTTAAAAAATAGCTGTAATTAAACTTACGTAATAAATATGCAGATATTCATAATGTCAACCTAAACAAGTTAAAACTTGATAAGCACAACAGAGGCGCCACAGACGAGCGATTATNATAAGTGATTAATAATTCTTACTTAATTGTATTGTAGAAAAATACATGAAAAATCAAGTTCTCTTTCCTTTCTGACTTACAGAGGATAAATAACTTCAAAATTCTAAAATATTACGTCAATAATGAAATAAAAATCAAAGTTAAAAGATGTAAAAGATAACCAACTTTGCAGGAAAAAAACACTATTACTTTGTTAAATCCACTAAATGCATTTCACCAAAAATATTAGGCCTCCTCAGTAGGGTTTTCAGCACAGTTTAAACTCTGACAATTTTCCATCAGGCTTATTTTGGCAAAATGCATTTAAGGGATTTAACAAAGTAATAAAGTGTTTTTCTCTACAAAGTTAAACCAACTTTCACCTCTTTTAACTTTAATTTTTATTTCATTATTAACATATTTTAGAATTTTGAAGTTATTTATCCTCTGTAAGTCAGAAAGGAAAGAAAACTTGATTTTTCATGTATTTTTCTACAATACAATTAAGTAAGAATCAGATAATTAATCTGACTTCATTGTTTTAAATAGTTATTTTTAAGTAATTAATATATTATTTAACTTTTTATGTCTGAAAATTTTTAAGATTTTATTAAAATATTAAATTAAATGAAAATATTTGATTAATAATGCTTTATAGAACATTTTTTAAATACATATTTTAAAGCACTTCTTTTTTATTAAATCAAAAGCAATGAAGACAACAATAGTGCAACAAAATAAAAAAAATTAATTAAATTTTCATGCACAAAAACTAGTTTAGTTCTATTTTTATATATTTTATGGTGAAATAATTATAAGTTTTTTATATTAATTTATAAATACTAATACTGTTATCATTAATGAAAATTTTCATTATTATTAATGCTGCTTGCAATGGTACAATAAAAAAATTAAGATAAGCACGCAATTATTATTGCTGAATTTCAATGTAATAAACAAAACTGTAAGTGAAGTTTATGTGAATCATTAAATGTTTTATTATAAATTTATCATTTGTAGTGAATTTAATATAAAAAAAATATAAGTGGCCAAGGATTTTGAAATTGTTGGTGACTTCACAGTGCATGCTGAGGATTAAATGAGTACTGTCAAAAAGCAAAATGTGTACACAAAAAGTAACAGCATTTTAGTGAAATATTAAAAGAAATCATTCGTGACAAGCCAGACAAAAGCCAAACAACATGACAAATGGGATCATGATGAAGAAGAAATCATTCATACCTATGACACTAGAGACCAGGGTTCTAAATTTGCGGTGGGGACCTTTGATCTCAGGTAGATCCACTGGGTTAGGAGATATGGAAATAAAGCAAGGAGAGTTAGTGTTATTGGAAGAATAGCAGGTTAATAGAGTCAGATAGTTAAGGTGAAATAAACATTTGGGAATCAAGCTTGTATCATCAATCAATAAATAAAACAAAAGCAATTTTATGAATATAATTATTCAGATTACTAAAGTAAATGTATAAAAATATTAGTAATGATTTATTAAATTAATTTCAAATAGTTACTGATATTAAAGATTTACTTATTTCATGTAATATGCTAGAGCTAGATGTATTTTGAAAAATATATTCATTAAATTGCACTTGCTTCATTCTGTTAAAAAATTTCAAAAGCATTTAAATAATAAAAAAGTATCCAAACTAATAACTGCATTCATGCTTTTAAGGATCTACTAAGGACATTAAATATCATGCTTTTAATTCAAAAAGACTAACAAACATACTAGGTTTTTAATTTGGGAATAAACAAATATGAAGCAAACTATATGTGAATTTTTTTCATGCTACATAAAATAGTGAAAAGTAATTTCAAGCGTTGTAAGGAGAAAAGCATTTATTAAAAATTGCATTTAATTGTTTCCTACATATTCTATAATAATTCATAAATAAAATATAATTTTAATCATATTGTTAGTATCTAAACTAGTATCTAGTAAAATTTAAGCAAGCATTATATGATTTACTAGAAGTTAGTTAAATTTTCATTCTAATTTTTAAAATTTAGATATGCAAAGAAAAACTGAAATGAAAAAAAAATGCATTATATTTAAAAACTCAAATTCTATAAATACATAGCAAAATAAAACATTTTAAAATAAAATATCATGCTTTATTATTAAATTTTCTTTTAAAACACATGCTTTTTTCCCCCTTTAAATAATAATATATATTTAAAAAAATTTTTTTAATTAAAATAATGTACAGTATAACATGCAAATAAAATCAAATTATTCAGAGAAAATAAAAATTATTAGTATTTATTTTATAAAATATTTAAGAATATATATTTTAAACTTATAATAGTATAAAATTACCGTATTTATTCGAACATAAAACATTTCCCTTTTAGTTAAACTTCAACAAAATATACTCGACAAGAAATAAAGAAGGAAAAAAAAAAATCAGTCAATCACAAATCAAAAAGTTTTATAAATTTCATAAATCATTCAATAAAAAATCATTCATAAATTACTAAATAAAGAAATAAATAAACTAGTGTAAAATATAAGTATGTATTGTTAGTATTATATAAAAGGAATACAGACACATGTGTTAAGATTAAATTTATTTCAATAAAATATTGTATATAAATATAAGACAGGAAATGCATTCGATTAAATACGGTAAACTTTCAATAATAATCATTTACATTCTAATAATTAGTTATCGTTTTTCTGTAAATATACATAAATCAAAAATATATATAAAATACATAATATTAAAACAGCAATAATTAAGAACAATTATTAAATATTGATTTAAATTTGATAATTTAAATAATCATAGTTAGTGATAATTAATGTAAAAATTATTGCTTATAATCATTTCCTTTCTTTTTATGAAAATTATGTATATAAATTGTTAAATTCCTTTTCTAATTTCATGAAGATTATATAAATTTCTTGTTATAATGAAATTATGTTTGAAATATTGGCACCCATTCATTGGAAGGACATTTGGAATATTTGTACGAAGACTTTTTATACTTCTAGAAAATATAGATCATGGCTAATATCGAGTATACTTATGTACAAGTTTCACATAGTTATCTAGATTTCATTTAAAAATACATGTATGGACTAATCAAATTATTACTACTATTAATAGACTTGATTATAGAAATAATTTCTGACAAGAAATAAGAATTTACAAAGTAATTGATAAAATGTCAAATCTTCATATTTGTGATGGTTTTGGTTATGTTACGAATATCCTGTCGATTTTTTTCAACTGTAACGAAATCGCTTACGTGATGGAATTTTCTTAAATACTGTTTTTCCCATGAAATCCTGAAATCTTTGTGCATAAAAACTTGGCCTATGAACAGACACTGTATCCTAAAAAATTAAAGAATAAATTAAGAACTTTGACTAAAATATATTTATATAAATATTTTATAACAACAAATATAAACTATATGAAATTATCCTTTATATCATAAAAATGTCATATCTTAATACATTTAAACCTATTCATTAAAAAAAAAATCCTATATAGCAAGATGACCTTACTATTTTTCATATTTAGTTATAAAATAAAATTTATGATTAATTTCATTTGTATAATTTATATTTCATTACATGACTGATTTTATCAATAAATATACATATCAATAAATAAATATATTTATTGATAAAATCAGTCTAGTATCATGTAATGAAATATAAATTCTATAAATCAAATTAATCAAACTATTTAAATTAAAATTCTAATAAAATTTACATTAATTGTTATATTAAATATTTGCTACTTTCTTGTAAAGCTTATTCTAGAATTAAATAAAACATTTTTTTTTCTTTCTTTATTGTAATAAGATTATGTTGAAAGCCTTCAATATATCTAATATAGTAGTCATGTTTTATCCAAAAGTTATTACAACATAAAAATTTTCTGTATATACATATATGAAACATATGACATTAAATATTACAGTGATGATTTACACTACCAACACTATTACAATAAACTAAAAAAAATTAATCATAATCTTCTTATAAGAATTATAATGATATAATAATATATCAAATTCAATAAAAATTTATATAATACAAGATTGAACATTTTTATTTAAAACAGTAACAGTTTTGATATAATTAACTTTGAAAATAACAGTTCATCCTCAAAACAAAACATGAACTACTAACTTCAAAATCATTACAAAATTAAATAAAATTTTTCCCCTTATGCAGTAAGTAGACAGACTCTCAATAAGTCACACTTCATTAACTGAAATTTTATTTTTATTCCAACTTAAATCCCATAGTTTAGAAAAAAAATCTAAACTACAAATAAAAAAGTATTTTTTTGCAATTTGAGCAACTGCCCATAGCATCTGACTAAAGTGAAAAAAACCAGCAAATAGAAATCTAATAGTCAAATTGAGCCCACTACAAAATAATGATGTACTAACAAAATATACAAAACACAATACAGTATAAACAAGTATTTACTTTTTTAATATCGATATATAATATAGAGCAAATATTGTCTAACTTTTGTTTATGAGGGTTACATTCAGATATAAAATTAGTTACAAAAAGTAAATTCACAATAACTGATATATATGAACAATTGTTCTTATACTGAAGACCTATATAAACAGCAACTAAAGTTTCATATAAAGTTAGAAAACTAATAATAAAATTAAAAATTTATGACAGTTTTTCCCAAAGGTTTGTATATCTATATATATATTATAATTTTTGATATCATAGTCATAATTAACACATTCAACTGTGAAGAATTCAAGACTAATCTTTCACTGAATTGTGTTTTTATTGCAAGAGCAAATGTAAAAATATTCTACAGCATTTATATATAAGAAATTTATATGATAAATTCCTAATCTTCATATATAAAACAGTAAATTCATTTATACATGCTTAACTGTAAAATTTCTGCACCAATCTAGGCATTTAACAAAATTTTAAACAGCTATAAGATTTTGTGTAAACTGAATAAAAGTTTCTGATGGATCAGATTTGTCCAAGATGACAATTTGATCATATGCAGTACGTCAACTTTTATTATAGAAAAAAGAAGAGAGCAGAATTCAAACTACAAAAATGAATTTCCTAGAGAGTATTTTGTAATAATTGATCAATACAAAGTAAAAAATAAGGAGACAGAGCTATGGTAATGAAGAATTTGAATAAAACAAACTATACTTCAGTATTTGACATGTTAAATGTATAAATAGCAGAAACTATACACTATCCAAAGAAGAAATTTGTTTCCAGTTCAATTGATAAAAGTCAGAAACTGACCACAAAAGAGATAGACAGACTAAGGATGCAACTATGCAGAAATGAATTTAGAGCAAGTAAGAGGTTGTGAGTGATATACAGTAGAGCGTCAATTATCCAAATCAATTGGGGACTGGGGTTGTTTGGATAACTGATTATGTATGAAAAAATACATTATTAATATAGTATATTAGTATATCCCAATAATAGTATATTAATATAGTCCATGTTTAAATTTTTCTCTGTTGCATGTCACTTCGCATTGAATTTTTGTCAATGTAAAGCCTAATGAAAATTTTTATAATAATAATCGTGGTTATTGTATCGTTAAAAATTACTTTTTACTTTGTACAGACAAAATAAATATATTGAAAAATATAAAAACAAAAAAATTATACTTTAAAAGTTAATCTAATATCAAAAACGTTCAATTCAACAGGACACAGTCCAACTNCGTTAAAAATTACTTTTTACTTTGTACAGACAAAATAAATATATTGAAAAATATAAAAACAAAAAAATTATACTTTAAAAGTTAATCTAATATCAAAAACGTTCAATTCAACAGGACACAGTCCAACTGGAACGCTTTCAGTTAACGTTTCGGTTGATCGACATTCAGATAATCGATGCTCTACTGTAGTTCTAGCAAAGGAAAACCATGCACAAGAGAGAAATATTGCTGGTGAGAGTGAATTTCTGGTCTCACACATATCTGACAGGGTTTGATATTTATCGCGTCTCATCTCTTCTCACCACATATTCTCACTTGCTCACATCTGTATAGTTGCACCCTAAATGAAAAAAATATAATAAGGGAAAATGTAGACATGAATCAGATTTGAAAGAAAGAAATTTCAGCTTATCTTATTTTATCATAAATATTCGAGTAATTAGCATTTGTCATCGATTTTCAATCTTTTACAGAGCCATGTAAAATCAATTTTAGCATAATATAATAAATCATAAAAATAAAAGTGCAATAGATTTAAAATTATAAAGCAATAAATATGCAAGAACAAGAATTTCAATAATTCTAAAATTTCTATGAACTTATAATCACAGTAATGCTGAATTTCACCATGTTTTTTTGATACAAGGAAACAATTATTATTATAAACTGTAACATTAAAAAATTTTTATATATATAGTAGAGCGTCGTTTATCTGAATCAATTGGGGACTGGGGTTATTCGGATAACCGATTATGTATGAAAAAATATATTAACCTATCCCATGTTGAAAATTTTCTCCGTTGCATGTCACTTCGCGTTGAATTTTCATCAATGTTAAGCCTAATGTAAACTTTTTAAAATAATAATCATGGCTATTGTATCGTTAAAAATTATTTCTTTATTTTTTACAAACAAAATAAATATATTGAAAAATATAAAAACAAAAAAATTATTCTTTAGAAGCTAATCAAAAACATTCGATTCAGCATGACACACAGTCCTCAGAAAAACACCACAAAAAAGTGACAGTGCTGCCAGCTAAAACACATACACACACATAAAAATATTGGAGTAGCCCAAAACATAGCCAAAGATTGCAGCGCCACAGCACTAGCGAAAATTTAAATTTGCCAATTGGAATTCTTTCAGATAAATGACGTTTCGGATAACCGACTTTCAGATAAACGATGCTCTACTGTAAAACTTAATATTAAAAAATTTTTATATAAAAAACTTAATATTAAAATGATATCTAAATTAATAAATATAGCTCATTAAAATAAATTTTACAACAAATATAATAAAATGATTTTTATACCCCATCATGTAACATCGATTTCCATGTGTGTTCCAATTTTTTTTTTAGTCTGTAGCTCTGTAGAATATCGATAATACCCAGAAAAAGTAATAATCTCTCTCCTTTGGAATTTCTTGCAGGAATACCACCAGGTCTAATTAAAATAAAAAATATTACATATTTAAAATCAAAATTCAAAAATGCAAATACAATTTTAAAAATTTTTATTATGATAACATTAATTTTCAGTAACTCAAAGCCTTTGTTTTTAAATATTCTAATTTATTCTATTTATTATTATCATATATTCATAATATAAATATTGAAAATATATATATATATATATACACACCCAATTTCAGAAATGTTATATATTTTCTGTAATACATACAAATCACTAAAAATTATCTTTTGGAAATACTGGGACAGATATTTAAGATTTACATTTTGCTTTTAATTACTGTTTAATGAATTTAAGATATTAATATACTATCAAATGAAAGCCTTTCCAAAGGCAGACAGGAATAATGGAATAACTCTAAAGCATTGACAATGACATCAGCTATATTGTACAGCAAAGATGGTAAACATATGGCTCACAGCCCATGTTTAACGTTGTCCCACTAACCACTAAAACAATCTATTATTTATATTCAGGATTTTGTTGAAAAAATTTAGAATTATGTTTAAAATAGTAAATTACCTATTAATATTTGTTTTTTAAAGAAGTAAAACTATATAAAATATATTGATATTTCAAATATTTCAATAACACAATAAAATTTAACATGAAAAAAAATATAATTAAACATCTCTGTTTTCAAAAATTAGAAATGAAATAAGCAATGAAAAAAGCTGCTGAAATTATAAATTTCATACAATCAAACAACTTCAACTATAGACTATTCAAAGACTTTCATTTAGAACTCAATGATACTTATTTTAGTCATGTTAGTTTACTAAGCAGAATGGAAATATTAGAACAAAATCACTTCTAAGATGAAAAAAATTATGAAAAAATGTGAAAGAATATTACTTATTTAGAAGAATCCAAATGGATAAATGATCTATCACTTTTTGTTACTACAAAATATTTTGCTGACCTAAACTTAAAACTGTGTGAGAAAGAAAAACTTGTTAATCAGAAAATATTCAAGTATTTGTTAAAAATCAGTTAATTAATAAAATAATGCTTTGAAATGGACAATATTTTTATCCACAAGAGAAAACAAAACAATAGATATTGAAAATATTCACTCTCACTAGTGAATTTAAGTAATAAATCTGAAGAAGTTACCAATTTTAGAAATAATGAAGTCAATTTCTTATCAAGATGTTTAGTCATTTCAAAATGTTGAGTTGTAAGTTATCCCAACCTTACAAAGCTGATTGTTCAAATAGTATTTCTATTTGGCAACAGTTCTATTCCAGGATGAAAAATGTTATAACAATGAACCATTATGTTTGAAAGCTTAACATCTGAGCAATGAATAAACATTAACATTTCACCTGGAAAGCAATTTTTATTTTGTAAAAAGTTAATTAAAATTTACATATTATTTATAATTTAGTTTTATTTAATTTCTTCAATAATCATCCTGCTCTTTGGACAAGTTTGGATATCACTGCTCAACAACTACAGCTACAATTGTCAATATAAATAGAAATTCTCTGTAGTTATTTTGCTATGTTACAATAATTGTAATTCTATGTATAATATATG